CTGCTCCGCTGAAGCTCCTAGCTCCTGTGGAAGCAGGCTTGGCTGCTCTCTGCTTATTCGCAGTGGGAGACTGGGGCCATAACATGCAAAAGTTTGGGAGAGTCCTAACCTGTGCAATGCCAAAAAGATGCTTAAACCAGTATTTTGTGTGAGTTCTAATTCAGGATGTTAACCCATTTGTCCACGTTTGAATTAAATATGCTCCCAATTCATTGTTTGACCTATAGTTCAATTTATAATACATTTTCATGCACTCACATTTTCAACATTAAGCAAACAAAGCAGGAATTTTAAAAACTACACACACAGGATGACTGAAATGGCATTAAAATGGATACGGAAGAAAACTGTTAACACGTTGATTGCCTCTAGGAGGTGGGACGATCTGGGAGGTAATTTTTTTCTGCTTATTTATGCCTTTTTTGTACTGTCCAGATTTTCTAGAAGACAATGAATTAGTTTTATAATAAGAAAATACAAACAAACAGTAAACCCCAAACCCAAAGGCAGGGACAAGAGCCGGTGCTAACTCGTCTGCTATCATCAGGTAGCACTAACTATAAGGGGAAAGGTGAGCCCATTGGATTTATAAACAGTTCCTGGTGTTCGATGAAACGTAAAAGAAATTTCTGATAGACAGTTGCATCACTCACAGTGCACATCCTGATATACTCTAAGCCAAAAGGAAGAAATTACTTAGCACACGGTGGGAAACGGCAGGGAAAAGAGACACTAACACACTGAGGAAAGTGTAAATCTGTTTCAGCCCAGGCCGTGGAACTCTATAAAGGAACAAAAGAGGGAGAGGAAGTTTCACATCAGATAAGCAGGGAGGAGACCAGACTCAGTGGAGGCAGTGTAACCCTGGCAGCCATGGGCTGTTACACATTCCGGCAGTGATGGGATTGGAACAGCTGTGTAGGGTACGTGAGGCTCTGCCTGGTACAGTACAGAAAGACCTGCACACAGCGCATTGGCCCCATGGGTCACCTTTTAAGTGTTAGGGTGGAGCGGGGTGGTCACGAGTATGGCATGCCTGATGGATGAGAACTGTACTTTTTTATTTGCTCAAAATGCCTTCACAGGGTCACATATAGATTTTTTAGAATTTGAATGGTGCCAAATTAAATCACTTATGGTTAGCGCTAAACACTGTAAATAACCCTTAAAACACCCCACTTCCCCCTCTGCCCCCACACAGTCACATCCATGACATATATGTGCATTTACACACACAAACACACACAGGAACAGAGCTAAAGTGTGGCTTGGGAGAAGTAGTTTTACCGTCTACTTAATTCCCACCTATTCTATGATATAGATATTTTTCTCAATCATATGCAAATGCAGGTTTAAGCCACCATCAAACCAACTACATTGCTACCCGCAAGGCACTCCTTTATGGAAACTTTGCTGTCTCCACTGTGTTTCTGTTTTGCCAGCAAGAGGGTGTCAAACATTTTCTACTCTTATTAATTGTATCTATCAAGAAGATGAAAGCATGGTTTCCTGCCTGTTGAACTATGCCAACTTGTACCATTGCTCTGGTGGACAGCAATGCATTCCCCCTCTCTACCATAATCTTTTTTCCTTAACGAAAAATACATTCTACTAATAAAACATGCAAGCATTTTGCTACCTGCACTGTGGGGACCTTATGCATGTGAAAATGTCATTTTCACCTAGAAAAATTCCCACTCTGAATTTTGTCTTCTTCGGAAATTTTCATAAACTCTAAGGGGCACTTTTCAAATGGTTTGCTCCATTCATCTCAAGCTTCCCACAGCACTAATCTACTGGGATCCCGTAACCAAGCAACTTTCGGGTGACACTGAAAACGTTTCTGTTGCTTAGTGATGCCTGGGAACTGATTTTGTTTTTTCTCTACTCAGACACAGCCAGCCTCACAGCTGATCCTCCAGCTGTCCTTTGAGTGGCTGGGGTAACATGTTCTCACCCAGAACACCGCTGAGCTCATCTGGGCAACAGTGCTCTCCCCAGCTATCTTTGGGAATCTTGAAGTTCCAGGAAAAACAGACTGTCGGGACTTCCTTGGTGGTCCAGTGGTTAAGAATCCACCTTGCAAAGCAGGGGATACCAGTTTGATCCCTGGTCCAGGAAAATCCCACATGCCACAGAGCAACTAAGCCCGTGGGCCGCAACTACGGAAGCCCTCATGGCTGTGCTCCTCAGCATGTCTTTGCTGCTTGATTTGGCTCTTGCTGAGACATAGAAAGTGCTAAAATATCACAATACAAGGATAAAACTAAATTCATCACATTGTATCTGCCCAAAAAGAGAGCCCACTCACAAAGGTGGAGGCACCTTTGTTGAAAGCTGTATTCTCTGCCTCTCTTCTCTTTATATATCGGAGATTTGAATCTATTAAATTATCTACTTATCCCTATGGAATATCTAAATTCCACTACCTGATACTCAAAGACAAGACATAGGAAGCAGGATATGACTTTAAAGTAGTAACTAAGAGGTAAGGTACCAAGAACACAGCTATGTTCCCTGGGGGAATTATAACTTTGAATTTCACAGTACCTAAGACAATTTTGCTCTCTAGATTGGGGAGTTCTTTCTATCTGCTGGACATTGAAAAATACTGTTGTTTCTACTTCTTTCCCTTTTGAGTTGATTATATATCTTGGAAGTTACTATGATTTGCTTGGTTTCATAACCCACAAAGATGCTCCATAAGGCAAAAGTTCTTCTAGAAAAGAGAATTCTATTAGATATTTACAGAGCTATTTTGGACTTTTCATGAGAGAGACCTATCAGTGTGACTTTACAGCTGGTGAAAGGATTTCTGTAAAGTCACACTGATAGGTCTCTCTCATGAAAAGTCCAAAAGAGCTCTATAAATATCTAATAAATGAAAACCCACTCCAGTACCCTTGCCTGGAAAATCCCACGGACAGAGGAGCAAAGTCGGCTACAGTTCATGGGGTGGCAAAGAGTCGGACACGACTTCACCTTCACTTTTCATAATGCATCTGTCTCTTGTCCACACAGTTGTACTGTTAATGACAAGGTTAGTATTTAGCAATGGAACTTCACTATAGAAAATGAAGGAAAATGGAAGTTTCTAATTAAATGTAATTAAGGGTCCAGGGGAAAGCTTACCCAAGCTCCCCCTTACATCTGGGGCATTCTGATGGCATCAATAGTCTGGCTTCAATACTCCCCATGGTAACTGCTCTTCCAACCTTTATTCCCATCTAGACTTCCATGTCTACAGACAACGAAAAATCACAATCCCAAGCTTGGGTTATCTTTTCTCCCCTCCTCTTCTCCATTAGCCACATCCTCCTTCATTCAATCTTAAACTAATCCTGATGTCCAGAAAAAGTGATTTCTACTCCAAACAATCTTCCAGGCATATAGGAGGAAGCCCAGAGAAATCACTGGTGATCAGAAACAAAAGCTGCTTTTATTGTGCTTTTTGAAATATACAAAGACAGAGAAGGCACAGAAAAATGTAGACCAGCAACATGGATCCAGGGACCCTTGGGCTAAGAACATTAATTTAGCAGAGAGCTTACAGAGTTAATTGTTGAGACAGAGCATAAAGGCCATTATAGCAAATGGTTCTTGTTATTATCATGCTGTGTCCAAGAGGGGGATAAAGATGTCTCCAGAGGCCACCATCCTTTGTATGTTGTACATTTTCCTTCTACTCATGTAATTTGTGGCATCCAGTTGCCCAGTCCTGCTTCCAACCCTGAAAATTCCTTTCAGGGAAAGAGTTACTAAAATCCCTTACACTTCAGTATGAGTCAGTTGCCATGACCTCCCCCAAGGATATTTGCATGCCAAGCCATGTTCTTATTATGGGCTGAAGAATTTCCCCCTAAGGAAGGGATTCTTGAATTAAAACTGCAGGTGAAGTTCATCTCTTGGGGACAGAATGACCCACCCTCTTGAAACTGCTCAGTATCCAGATTTTAAATGTCATCATAAAGTTAAGGACAAGCCTGTTATGTTTGGGTTCATGGTTCTAATAATGTTATCTTGTATGACTTTTTAAAAAATTACTTTGAAATTAACGAGAGTGAAATTTGCCTCACCATGTGGGTGCTGCAAGCAGTGTGGTAAGATTCTTCCCTGAAGTAAATAAAGCCCTTAAAAATAAAAAAAAGAAACCTAGAAGCACATATATCATTTACAAATGTAACAACTTTGGGGCTGAAATGGGCCCTTTATATTTTAGCTTGTATTAAAACTGTCAGACAAGAACCTGTGGAAAAGGGAATAATGGGATGTAAAAGCACTGAGGCAGAAAGGGGATGACTAGTGTAGAGATATTTATGAATAATTTTTTATAACCACTAATATAATTGTGATTATAGCAGAGAGCATGGTAATAGAACTTTCGGGAAGGATGGAGATGGTAGCCATTAGCCATATGTGGCTACTGAGGATTGGAAACCTAGCTAACATGGCTGAGGAGCTGAATTTTTTATTTTAATTAATCTTAAGTTAGTTTTAAATAGCTACATGTGCTCAGTCACATCTGACTTTGTGGTCCCATGGACTGTAACTCGCCAGGCTCCTCTGTCCATGGAACTTTCCAGGCAAGAATGCTGGAATGAGTTGCCATTTCCTACTCCAGAAGATCTTCCTGACCCAGGGATCGAAACTGTGTCTTGCATCTCCTGCATTGGCAGGCGGATTCTTTGCCACTAGCACCACCTGGGAAGCCCACACGTGGGTAATGGCTACCATATTGGATATTGGTCTAACACCATTACTTCTTCAACATGTAATTTTAGGAATGCTTTGTACCAGTGAACGAACTCTGGGAGAAACTGATAGAACTCTCAGGATAACACAGCCTTCCAGATGTGAACAGTTTACTTACTAAAAACACAGTTTATGACTCACTTTGACCTCCGCCCCAACACATTACCCAAAGTGCCCAGGATTGATGCCTCCCTCATTCCTCCGGGGTAAGCCTGCAATTGCAGGCCTTTGGAAAGAAGTGTACTTACCCTCACCTGGCGGAAGTTCCTCTTCCTGCTCGCTGGGGGAAGGCAGCAGGGGTTGCAGGGGCTCCATGTTAATGATGAGCTGCTTGTTCAAGGAGTGGGAGCTGCGGCTCTGAGAAATATTTGTTCTGAAAACAGATACAAGCCAGAGGGAACTGGTTTCCATCAGGAACACTGGCCCCTCCCTCTCAGTTGACTGCCCAAGCTGGCCCCTGCCTGTAGACTCACACAGTGCATCAGGCCAGTGGGAAAGCTGACACGCAGCCCTTTTTATCCTTAAGGTCCTGACATGTCTTCTAATGTCCATATGTGCTAATGCAACACATGAAAGAAAATATCTTTCCCCACATGCCCTCAGACTTGGACATGCTGTGTGACAAGACAAGGCATTGAAAAAAGACATGGGCAACAGAAATACACAAGAGAAGATATCACCGAACTAGATATGCAGACAAGTGAATGGAGGGCATGCCTCAATGTAATTTTAACAACCACCAAAACCCACAAAAACTCTGCCCAGAAGATGGCACAGGCCATCCACAGCTGAGAGCTATTTTGGTGTTGCTGGATGTCCAGCATCTACTATCAATATTTAATATTCCCACTCAAATTCACACCTCCTCACCAAGCAGCCACAGAATGCAGCTCCACTTTCTCCTCTTGAAAGAAGAACATGTGTGCTGGTAGCTGAAACAGGGAGCAGATGGCAAAGAAACTGTGCAGGTTGTCTTATCAAAACTATTGGAGGATAGCCAGGCAGCCCATTTACACTGTCTACCCTCAATAGGTAGGTGCCTCTGGTGGGTGTTTCAGCACCCTTCCCATCCCCATATTTCCTATCCAAACTAAAACCAATCCATTCTTCAAAGATGTCAAATGTCTCCTTCTTGAAACCCTCCTGGATTGCCTTTACCACTAACTCGCTCTCCCCCTTTCTTCTCACTCTACTGTCCGTTCTTTCACAACTCACCACATTTGTTATATTTGTTGCCCTATAATTAATGGTGTATTAATCAGCCCCACCTTGATAAGCACCTTAAGGCAGAGACTGACCTATCCATTCTCATGTGCCTTTTAGCACCTCTCTTGCCATCTTGTTAAGGGGTGTTCAGTTTGACACTGAAGTAAACTTGGCATTAAGTTGATCTTTCAGACTGGCATGGGTGTTCTCCAGGCCAGTTGATGGGACTGCCTTAATAGCCTGGGCAGTTCTGTTAAGCATCAGGGCCAGACAGGGAAGAAGCTGGTAGCATCTAGAGTTAAAAGCTGCCACTGGTTGAAATGGAAATTTATAAGGACTTGCTTAACCATGGAGTTCTTGTCTTCATTATTTCATTCTACAATCCTTTATTTTGCAGCTGATATGTATGTATCATTCTGGGGAACCGTGGTCCTCATCCTAAACTACTCCCCAGAACCATGATTTTCAAACTTTTTGGACCAAGACTCACAGAAATTACAGAAATACATTTGATATCATCTCTCTGTACACACACCAGGCCAGGTGGCGCTAGTGGTGAAGAACCTGCCTGCCAACGCAGAAGACAAAACAGATGCAGGTTTGATCCCTGGGTTGGGAAGATTCCCTGGAGATGGGCATGGCAACCCACTCCAGTATTCTTGCCTGGAGAATCCCATGGACAGAGGAGCCTGGTGGGCTACAGTCCATAGGGTCGCAAAGAGTCAGATGCTACTGAAGCATCTACTACTTAGCACATGTGCTACTTAGCACATATGCACTCTCTACACACACACATGCACACACAGATACAGGAAGACATAGCTAAAGTGTTTCTTGTAACAGCAGTAATCTTGCTATGTGTGAGACTCTGTTTTACTTTCCATCCTACTTCATTTCGCCTAAAGCCCTGGTCTTGACCACTGTTTTCACCTCATGACTCTGTAGTGTGTTACAGCCACGACTCCTTCTGTGGAGATGGCCAAGGGTCCAGGGGGACAGCAGAAAGGGGCACCCGATCCTGCTGTGACTGAGGGGAGAGCCAGAAAAGACCTCCCAGGGAAGGAAATGTCTGATAAGTCCTGGCAGGTGCAGTGGTCTATAGGAAAAGGAGGGGAAGCAGGGATTCCTCACAGGGGAAGAAAGGAAGGGAGGAGTAAGAGGGAGATTAAAATCACCAGGAGCAAAGGCTTCTTTTATTGTAGAAGGGTTCTCTTTTTTTGAGATTTTCATGGGATTTCTATTGGCCCTGTGGCTTTCATGACTGCAGTCTTAGTTCTGCAAAGCACCTTGTGCGAACTATCTAGTTTTCTGACCTCTGAAAAGCCCATTTTCCTTTCTTGCACACACTAATTCCGAATCATCCATCTCTGAACATGCATGCCAGCTGAACCGACAAAGGTTCCCCTCCTCTAGAAATCACACTGTAGAATCACAGCCAGGAGGGCCCCGTGGCAGAGGCTCTTCTGTTCCCCCTCAGGTGAGCGTCTGTGCTGTGGCCCACCTCAGAGGCCACCCGTCAGCAGACTCTGCCAAAGTGCCAGACCTGCTTTGCAGCCTACTCATGAGCACTCTCCATAGAACAGCTTCTGAGTGAAACTGCTCTAAGGACCCTATTGAGAAGAAAACTTTCCTTCAGGAACTGCAAGTGTGTTCTAAGAGTGGCTTCAAAAAATGATGGCATAATATCGAGCAACAAATACAAGGTCTGTGGAGTTAAGGCCACCACTCCTTGGAACAAAAGGAAGTGCTGGCCTGTGAGCAAAAGCTCCATCTGAAGAGACTTCAATGTGAACGCGTCTGTCAGATTCTAGCAGCCCATTTTTGGATGAGCAGTGATAACAATAATATCACCACCTCATTTTTATTGCACTTCTTAATTTTAATGCCCACAAGAAAATCTAGAAGTCAGGGAGGAAAACATGAATCTCATTGTATAGATGAACAAGCTGATGATCTGAGACACTGACTTATGCAGGACATATACCACAGCCACAAAGCCAGGGTAGACGCATTCGTGACTCCTCGCTGGTCGCTCATTTCAGGTACAAGTGCTGTTTTTGGGAATCCCTTGGTGGAGGCTCTCTGCCCAGGTGGTTTAAGGAGCCGAATCTGAACTCTGAGCTACAGCCCTCGACTTCACTGGGCCCTGGAATGGGCAGGTAATTCTCAGCAAGTAGCCAGCTGACAGAGTTCCAGTTGAGGATCTTGTCATCAGCAAAGATCAGTGAGCTAACATGAGAGTGAGTATCTTCTCTTTTCGAAAAAAAGAAAAATCCCAAGACAGTGCTTTCAGCCTGCATCTGTTTCTCTCTGTCACACACATATCAACAGAAGTAGAAGTCCAAGAACTGGCTATACTTTGAAAAGGAGAATCTCAAGGGAGAGGAAAGAAAACTAAGTGAAGTCTTATCATCACTGTTCTAGATGAGCAGAGCTCCTTGGGCACTGCCAGAGAAAGAGCTCACTACTATACTCTCACTTTTGACAGCCACTGCAAACATGTCACAACAATTCGAAACTACGATAATTGTTCCAGAGAAACAACTTCCTGCCACGCAGCCAGCTACTGGGAAGGAACAAGAAGTGGCTGCTAGAAGTGGCACATGCCACCCTGGCTCTGACCACAGTGCTGCTTCTTGGGAGGGCAAGGTCCCCAAGGCAGCACCACGGACAGATCTCAGGTCTCAGAAAATTAGAGATAAAGCTGTCATCCCACACTCCCAGCATATACATTCATTCAATAAATGCCTACTGACCTCCGACTTTGACCAAGCACTGTGTAAAGTGGTGGGTAAGATGGAGGTAACCAAGATAGGCACAGCCTTGTCCTCCCAGAGCGTACTTGTATCACTACTTTAAACAAGTTCTTCCTTGTGATGTCAGAGGTTTGAGAGATACTGCCAAAGAACTGAGGGCCAGAGAGGCCCCCTTTCACAAACATGTAAGAGGGGCTAGTGGAGGAGCGAGGAAGAGCACGAGAATCCGTGCTGAAAGGGCCTATAGGGCCTTGGTTGCAGTGATATTCTGGGAGATTTTAGGAGATTCCAGAAGAAAAAAAAACAAATATAAATTGAATTGATGGATGCTTCATTTCTCATCTGCTCTGGTGGCTCAGTCCACTCCAGGAAAAGCTTTTCACTAGGGTGAATCTGCTCCCTCCACCACCTCTACCACCAGTAATCTAGAGTCGGGCTATTCAAAAGTGCAGACCATGAACTAGCCACATGGCCATCGTCTGGGAGCACATTCGAAATGCCAGATTCGCGAATTAGAATCTGATTTTAACAGGAATGCTAGATGATCCCTGTGCAAGTTATGGTTTAAGAAGCCTTGATCTAGGAAGGCTTCATTCTCACAAATGATGCAAACGTAAATTTAAAAGGGAAATGTTTTACAATATTCTTTCCTTTTTTTTTCCATTTATTTTTATTCATTAGAGGCTAATTACTTTACAATATTGTAGTGGTTTTTGCCATACATTGATGTGAATCAGCCATGGATTTACATGTATTCCCCATCCTGATCCCCCCTCCCACCTCCCTCTCCACCCGATCCCTCTGGGTCTTCCCAGTGCACCAGCCCCGAGCACTTGTCTCATGCATCCAACCTCTTTCCTGATCTCATTAATCATCTGTAGACACTAACTATGGGCTTTTGGTAAACCTTGCATGTTTGGAATAGGTCTTTATGAAAGTATACTGTTAAAAACATTTTCCTACTTTGTGTTTGTGCCTTCAAGGGGGTTCCCCAGAATCGAGTATTTCTTTGAAGATCAAATACTCATGCTTCCAAGCTGGAAGAATAAAACCCAAGCTGAGCCCCTGGGGTAGGTTTGCGCCCCCAGCTTCTAGGACAAAGCAGGGGCTTTCCAGGCAGCAGATGCCACAGAGAAAAGAGTACAGGACCCAGAGGCACAACACTGGAGTTCTAGGCTTCCTCGTGCCACCAAAGTATTTATGATCTAGACGAATCATTTAACTTCTCCAAGGCTCAAGTTCCCTTATCTGTAAAATAGAAACACTGAACCAGGTGATCCCCGAGGTCTTTCTAGACCAAAGAATCTGGAAACATTCCAATGATATGTGTTACTATTTCTTCTTTTTTTGTTTCTGCTTCACTGAGTAACCACAATTAGAGGCAGAGGAGGAGCTATAAAAAGGCTATTTTTCCACACACACACACACACACACACACACACACACACACACACACAAAGGCTATTTTTAAAAAATGACCATTGTTATTGACAGGTAAACTCTAAGACTTTCACAGGCATTGCTCCAAGGGGTCCCAGCCGGGGCGCCCCTGATTGCCTCGCTCTACAGTTTTCTCCTGCTTCTTAAAGCAGGAGAGGCTGCTTTGCAGACTTGCATGTGACAGCTTCCCATCTGTTGTTCATTCACTAAGTTGTGTCTGACTCTTTGCAACCCCATGGACTGCAGCACTCCAGGCTTCCGTATCTCACAAAATGTGGTCCCCTAAAGTGGCAAACCACTTCGATATTCTTGCCTTGAGAACTCCATGAACAGTATGAAAAGCTTCCCACTGGATCACCCCAAACCAGGAATGAACTATTCTCTCTACACATCTGCACAAGATTTCATGCTGACTGCAGTTCTGTTCCCCTGTGTGGGTGCCCACGCTGGCTGGCTTAGCTACACTTCTAAGAGACCGTGGCCTCCTCCTGCCTGACCACCCCAAGGACCAGATGGGAGGTACCCAGCTCACTGGGTCACCCTGGAGAGAGAGGAGGCTGGGGAAAAAATCAGCATAAGGGAGAATCCAAGTTCAAAGGTGGGGAAGGAAGGACTGGTGCCCACCAGTGGTTCTCACCAGTGTGAGAACTTCCTAAAGAATATATCTTATGATGATCTTGCCTTCAAAAGGAGGAAAATCAGGATAAGAATGTCCAGCTTTAGATACAGAGCATGCTTGAAGTTTAGGATGCATGAGGATCTGTGTAAACTGTGGTGATAAGAGGTCCAGCATGGTTAAGAGAATATTTATTATTCCTCAGAATTACATATATTGCCATGTTAACAGAGAAGCACACCGTTGTCCCGATAATGACTAAGCTCCTCATTCCTCTGAGTGGCTTTGGGGAATTAAAGGTCTGATGAGTGATGGGCACCCTACCCCCTCATGTGAGATAGTCTAGGAGGAGTTGGGCCAGTGGGAACTGGCCACAGTGATGAACAGAAGCAAGGGCAGAGAGCATCTCTAAGAGGACAGGATGATGGACTCAGTCAGGAGACAGCCCAGCTCAGCCACGCCTCACACGCTTCCTGCTTGTCCACGTGACACTCCAGGCAATGACTCCCTGCAGAGCCGGTAACTCAGAATGGAGCCTGGCCAGACCTGTCTGCGTGAGACCCGGGGCATGATGGGAGTGCCTGGAACGGGAGCTGAAAATGACACAGGGCCGGGCAGCTAGAGCCCTCGCTCCCTTCACTGTTCTAGTGGACTTGGCGAAGTCTGCCTTGAAACCCTCCTGTCCACCCAGAAACCTCCCAGAGTCCTGGGGACCACCCCACTCACCTGTGCACCTCTGGGGGTTCTCTCTGGATTTTGGAGCTGGCTTCCACCACCTCTTTGGCAACTTTACCGCTGCAAAAAAGACAGAAACATGGTGTCTGTGCACAGATGTTCAGAGTGGAAGTGGAGGGGTGTGTGCACTTTTTTCTTTTTTTTTTAAAACTTTACAGCGGTCTGACCCAACTCTAAGAATCCATGCCTTCTACTCCTCCATGAGGGGATATTACTACAGAGTTTGAGAGATCCTGTAGGCATAACAGATGAGTGGAAAGGGAGCCCCCAAACTGGGGTGTGGGCCAAAATGAACTGATTTAAAGTATCAATACCATATTCCAACATCACAGGCTGTGCCCAGCCCAACCCCATCATCAAAGTGGAACCATGGGTACCCACCTATATCGAAATCTACTTCCTTTAAAAAATATCTTGCTGCTTGACACCGTCTTGATCTGACTGGATTTTGCATACCTGTAAGAAAACGCAGAGCAGAGGTGGTATGCCGCTGAAAAGTCCAAGCGGAACATGCTGTAATGTGTGGTAATCAAATATTTCTGACTGCCAAGAAAGAGATACATTGTACTGTTATCTCTCTCTCACACACTCACACACACACCCCCACACACACACCTGAAAGAAATGTTTCTTTCACCATGTATATTGCAATCTGGCCTTTTCTATGTGATCTCTTTTCATTATTGTATATGCTGTTGGTGACCCACACATTTGGTATCATAATCTATTACCAGGTCATGATCTGCAAAAAGGACCAGGCAATATTGATGATCAGCAGGGATTCTTTCCCAGTTTCTGTTGCAGTGACAGGAAGAGGGTGGGCTCAGGCAGAGGGCGTCATTACAGTTTTTTTGCTGGGCAGACTTTCTTACCTGGAGCTATGCCAGCACTGCAGCAGAAAACAGTTCCCTGGTGACACAGGTCCCTCCCCATGTCACAGAGAACTCACCTACTGTGTATTTTCTGGGACATGGCACAAGGGGCCTATGTCACCATGGAAGTGATTATTAAGATGGGTTTTATAAGTGATTATAAGTGATTATAATACTCACCATGGAAGTGAGTATTAAGATGGGTTAAGTCACCATGACCCAGTGCCCTTTAAAAGAAACCATACCGGTTGATGACTAAGATACACGAGGATACACAGAAGCCTAGCCAAGCCCTGACTCAGCACCTCTGAGCCCTTCCCATAAATACGAACAAAACACCACCATTCTGAAAGAACAACTCAGAGCATGGACTGTTCAGAGGCCACACACGGGGCATTTGATTCCTATGATACCTCAAGACACCTCAACGTCAGTCACCTTGAGCCTGATGCTGTTAAACCCAACAAATTAGAAAGAATGGGTCTACCAGAGTTCAGGATCATTTTTAACTATTGATCAGTACAAAATCTTAACAAAAAACAAACAGAACAATATGCTGTATGGAATTCTGAGTAGAGACAATCACACAGTGAGGGCTGCATCTGGAAGCTTCGGTGTGGGCAGTGAGCCCCGCCCGAGTCCATGAAGCCTGGGTTCCATCACTTAGCAGTATTAACCAAGTGTCTCTTCCATTCTCTGCACCACAGAGCTCAAAGAAGACACCGACTTTGCATTCATGGAATGTAAGGCCCAGAGGGAAACGGGTATTCATCTAGAAACCCCACAAAGAAGAGAACAAAGGTAAATTACAAGCAGTGGCGCTATGAAGGAAAAGATGCAATGAGAGTGTGGAGGTGGTGCTGATCTGACTGGGAGCCACAGAAGGTGGCCTGAGCAAGAGACCTCTGAGCTGAGCTGCAGGGGAGGGAAGGTGTTAACAGGGCCAGTGGTGGCTGTGTTCTAGGCAGAAGGCCCAGCAGGTAAAAGCCCAGACCCTGAGCACTGGGGGAACTGATGATCTGATGTGCATTTCCCTGTGCTGTTATTACAACTATTTTACACAGTCTCACTCACACATTCTCCCTACCAATTTACTAGGACCTGACCTTGAGCTGTCCTTGTCAAAGATTCGGTCTTTGTCCTCAGGACCATGGAAAGTCACAGAAAATACTGTTTTGCAAACCATCTGAACCCACAGAGAGGAATACTGGCTACAGAGGATGAATCCAGGGAGCAAGATGGGCAGGAGAGGGGGGCAAGCCCAGGGAGAGGGATTCCTGTCAAGGCAGGGCCCAGAGGAGACAGCATGGGAACCCCAAGGATAAGCAAAGCACATGAAAGCCACACCACAGAGGGGTCTAGATGCCTAGGACAGGCTGCTGGCTAAAGCCAGGCTACAGACCACATGCGCTCAAGAGGAGAAATGGCTCAGCAAACCTCCCAGAGGCAACATCATTGTGCCTCCTCCCCTGAGGATGTGCCTGGCGTGGGTCTCTTTGCTACCCCACCTCCAATCTTAGCCCCAGAGATTCACAGGCATGGACACATTTCCCATCACCGGCTGCCTCTCTCCATCTCAGCAGAGTTGTTGCTCCCAAGTATTCAGAGGTGGGAGGTGGAGAAACTTTTTAAAGCAGTTTCTGCTTTTTTACTGTTTTGTTGTTATTGTTCTAGGTTCCCAAGGATGCTCAGGGCAAGGTTGTCTGCTAAAAAAGCTTATTAGGAGTCCTAATTGCAGTTTTTGAAATTCAGACTCAACTCTGTACCCATTTTATGGAGGTGTGGCTAGCACAGCAATTCCATAGATGGGGGCTCATCTAGGGAGCAGTGGGCGGCTCTCTCGCCGGTTCAGCCTCAGCTCCTGCCCTTTCAAGTCCCATGCAGAGGCCAGTGCCTCAGAACAGCCTCTTGGTGGGAGGTCTCCCATTGCTCCACTGCATCTGCACAAACCTGCCAAGTACGTCAAGGAAAACTGGCTAGAAGGCACCTTTCACAGAGAAAGACAGCGAATAGCTGTCTGATCAGGATGAGAGGAGTGAAAAAAACGTTGGCTTCTTTCTTACAGCTAAGTGCCCTTGATGATTATTTGTGTGGTTTCACTGGCTCAGACACACTCTATCAAGAGCATTTTACATACAGGTGGCTAAAAAACACATGAAAAGATGCTCAACATCACTCATTATCAGAGAAATGCAAATCAAAACCACAATGAGGTACCATTACACGCCAGTCAGGATGGCTGCTATCCAAAAGTCTACAAGCAATAAATGCTGGAGAGGGTGTGGAGAAAAGGGAACCCTCTTACACTGTTGGTGGGAATGCAAATTAGTACAGCCACTATGGAAAACAGTGTGGAGATTTCTTAAAAAGCTGGAAATAGAACTGCCATATGACCCAGCAATCCCACTTCTGGGCATACACACCGAGGAAACCAGATCTGAAAGAGACACGTGCACCCCAATGTTCATCGCAGCACTGTTTATAATAGCCAGGACATGGAAGCAACCTAGATGCCCATCAGCAGACGAATGGATGAGGAAGCTGTGGTACATATACACCATGGAATATTACTCAGCCATTAAAAAGAATTCATTTGAATCAGTTCTAATGAGATGGATGAAACTGGAGCCCATTATACAGAGCGAAGTAAGCCAGAAAGATAAAGACCATTACAGTATACTAACACATATATATGGAATTTAGAAAGATGGTAACGATAACCCTATATGCAAAACAGAAAAAGAGACTCAGATGTATAGAACAGACTTGTGGACTCTGGGAGAAGGCGAGGGTGGGATGTTTCAAGAGAACAGCATCGAAACATGTATATTATCTAGGGTGAAACAGATCACCAGCCCAGGTTGGATGCATGAGACAAGTGCTCGGGCCTGGTGCACTGGGAAGACCCAGAGGGATGGGGTGGAGAGGGAGGTGGGAGGGGGGATCGGGATGGGGAATACATGTAACTCCATGGCTGATTCATGTCAATGTATGACAAAAACCACTACAATATTGTAAAGTAATTAGCCTCCAACTAATAAAAATAAATGAAAAAAAAAAAAAAAGAGCATTTCCACCAATCCCCTGCCCTCCCAAATGTCCAGGGAGATGCCTGATAATGTCTGGGCTGAGATCTTTTATGGAGTTTTAACAAGGGAATTTATTCTGAGAGCGTGAATCCCACAAAACCCCTGGGAATTGGGAAACAGACAGTGGGATGGAAGCAAATGAATGAAGGCAAGAGAAAGGTGGCTGAGTCACAGGACACGCATGCAGTTGTGCCCACCCTTGGCTGTATATCAGTAGATGCTGGAGCAGGGTTAGGAGTACTAGCTCCCAGGACCCATCACTAGAGAGGCTCATTCAGTCCCTCTAGATTGGGGCCCAGGAGTCTGTATTTTTATCAAACACTCCAAGGTCATTCCAAGGCCACCTACTTGCACCAGAGAACCTCAGAGTCCCCACATTCTCCTTGAATGACTCCCAGGTGGCATTTTACCCCAAAACACAGGAGCTCAGGATTCTTTCCTGCTTTTGGTCCTGTGACCTTTGTCAAGTCATGTAGCTTCTCTGAGCCTTAGTTTCTTTACAGATTTTTTAAAGAATGATGATATTAGAATACTTAATTCATAGTGTTCTGAGGAGGGTTAAATAAGATGTGCTAAATAAGGGTTAAATAAGTCACTTCAGTCATGTCAGACTCTTTGCAACCCCATGGACGATAGCCCTCCAGGCTCCTCTCTGCCCACGGGATTTTCCCAGGGAAGAATACTGGAGTGGGTTGCCATATCCTACTCCAGGGGATCTTCCCGATCCAGGGACTGACCCTATGTCTCTTTTGTCTACTGCACTGGCAGGCGGGCTCTTTACCACTAGTGCTACCTGGGAAGCCTTAAATGAGACAAAATGACCTGAAAACACCTATAGTACTCCTTGCTCATTATATGATACCCTCCCTCCCTCTCTTCCTTCCCCTTCCCCTGATATCACTCTCCAAACCTCTGCATTGCCTTCTCACTGTTGAGCTACCAAAGCCAATTCTCTAAGCTGTGGCCATACCCGGGAACCATGTCAAACACTCTGAAGGCAAACAAAAGAGCTTCAGGCTCCAGCTCTAGCTGACCCGTTCCAGCTCTCTGTTCCCAGGCTCTCCCATCCACAAGCCCAGAGCAAGCCTTCCTCCCAGTGTAGGCAACGCAGGCACAGCCAAGTAGCAAAGCAGTTCTCTCTCCTCTAGCCTCTGGTCTTCCCTCTCCCCACTTCCATCTCCAGCTGCTCATCAAAACCTCAGCACAGAAGCACTGGCTATTCTCAAATCTCTGATCTCACAGGGAAATCCAGTCCCCAGCACCTGACTGGGCGACGCCTGTGTATTCACATGATGGCCTCGTCATTCCTCTCTTTTCTATTGTCACAACTCTCCCCCACCACCCCCAGAACTTTCAGGGCAGAGTCACTCTACCGAGAGACCCCTTCCCGTGGCGTTATGGAGTTCTGTCCAGTCCTGACACTGAAAGTCTGTTTTAAATGGGATACCATTTGTGAGATGTGCATACATACTCAGAGTGCCTGGAACAGACAAAGCATCCTCTGAGTAACAGTGTCATCTGATACACACACAGCACAGCTCTGCAGGAATATGCCCCCACTCACCCTGCTTCCAGCTTCTCCTCTGGTACCTGTTACTACAGGAGCTGAGGATGAGG